TATATATTTATTTATTTATATCAAATGGCAGGCGTTTTGATAGTTATCATTAGCCCTTTAGTTGACTTCAGGCTTCATAGAGGGGAGGAACATCAAATTGAAAAAAAAGTCGAGAGTGTGGGAGGGAGGAACAGAAGAGTGTTTCAAAGATGTAGAAGAGACAGGCACAAAGGTAGAGAAAAAGGTAAAATGAAACTGTGAAAGTGGTCGAAAATGACCTACAGTGGGGGGATGGTAGTTAGAAGCCAGAAGTCAACTGCCAGTTAATAGACTTTTTTTGCCGTGTGAGTATACGTTGCCCAGGATGCACCACGAGTAGGTAAGTCTATCGCACTCCCGTGATAGGTTATATTAATTATATGAGTTAGTTTCATTTTTCACCTCTTCTTTTGTTCCACTTTTTTGCCATCACATGATTTTTCTGTATATAGTCTTCACCTGTCCGATGGGTTCTACGAATTTGTTGTAATTACTGTGACTTTTGTACTAATTATTCAACTTCAAACCTTTGTACCCTTTTTCCTTCATTTGATGTATTGTATTAGTCATATCTGAATTCTGCTTTTTAAAATTTCTTCTCTGGAACTTTTTCTTTTATTCAAATTCTGTTGCACGCGTCGCATTCATTTAAGCAATGTTCTATTTAATGTAACCTTAATGGTGATGGATAACTTTCTACGTATCTATGACACTTAATCTGGTTTCCTTCAAATTTATTCCTATTTTGATTAGTTTTATTATTTTGCTTGTCATGTTACGTGACAGGAGAAATAAACTTTGGTTGACATAAAATATTATACGCTCATACTTTTGTCATACATTTTTTCGGCTTAGTATATCGCGCTTTAAGTACTAATGCTCAACGATTGGATGGTGGTACGATTCTTAACCTCTTAGTTTATCTAAACTAAAATTTGTGGCTTTAATATTCTTTATTCCTTTAGACAAACAATTACATGTAATTCTATGTGTGAAACGTCTAAATTTCCATAAATATTGGTTATTGACTTAAGTTAATTGATAAACTTTTAATTCAGCTTTCATCCAATATTGGTTTGAGGATTCGATCAATTTTATTAGCCAGTTGATGCAAAGTTGATTTTCCATGGATCAAATTTTTAGCTTATCTGCGAAGAGTACACTCGTCAGGCTCACGATAGCACTTTTCTACCCCCCCTCAAGAGTTTATCTTGTCAATCAAGGTCAACGCTTAGAAGTACAGATGAGTGATGTCCACGAACTTTAGTGCAACTTTTATGTGTTTCACGATCAATACTAAGTCGGATGGGGAGTAATTTACATAGAAAGAAATTAGATAGACTAGACGAGTGGGCGAGGGAGAGGAGGAGAATGCGTCACAACAGCCCTCTCCTCTCCCCACGGTCTGGTTTCGTTTTGTATGCCCCTCAGTAGTAGTGGCATCAGAGAGAATGCCGCCGCCGTCAACTACTGTGTCTGGCTTTTCCTCGTTTGTGCGCTCTCCACTGGAGGGGGGGGGGGGAGGGAGTTGGGAGGGTAGATGAACACAAGCGGTAAAAGTCAGCCAAATAGAGGGAGAGAGAGAACCCGTGTGCGTGACCAACTCTCTTTGAAGCTGTCTCTCGTAGTAGTCGAAGCGCTACGTGCGCCCCATACAGTAGTGGTGTGGAGAGGAGGCGAGAAGGTGGAGAGAGAAGTAAGATGAGTGAACGCGCAACGCGCACACTTTGTGTGGTTACTGTTTTTTTTGCCAGTGTACGCTCTTGTGTGTCTGTTTGATCTTCTATCGGGTGCTTGCGGACGCGGTATGTGCCTTCATATATGCTTGCCGCCTCATGGGAGCTGTGTATCGCTTTCTTCCAATACTGATTCTTATTTTTCCTCTCGCATTTAAAAGGACGCACGTGGTCGATAACAGCACTCACAATTGCCATCTAGGTCGTTTTTTTCTCTTCTCAACCATCTACTTAACCTGTAGGTGTTAAATCTTTTATTGGACTTCACCATCTTGATATTAGGCAGTATAACTGGGTACTTGTTAGTTGTTACTGGATCGGTAGATTCATTTGTTTGGCTGATAGGACTCGCAGATGACCCATTTTGCGGGACTTCTGACTGCTGAAGCTTTAACGTGTTTTGTAGAATCGATGCCATTATTTAAGTATTGTAAAGTATATTAAATCCGGATCATAACAGCTTAATACGAATTAGGCGTGATTCTGTGTTCACTTTCAGGTTTTGATTTGAATTGGGATTCCATATAACCTAGTCACGAGGATTTAATCCAAATTAATTGTGGCTCCTTTGAATGCGGTCTGTATTGGTTCATATTTCGCATTTACTAAAGGAAGGAAACTCTTTTTACAGTAATTCCAATTATTGCTTGATTTCTTTAGCTTGTGTGTGTGTGATATTGGAATGACTTTTCGAACTACTAATTTTACCGTCAGATTTAATGCAAACTACGGGGTTATCCTTTTGTCCGTTTTCTTGTGTTCTCTCGAAAGAAATGACTTCGTTAAGGTTTTTCGTTGGAATGATTTTTAAACCCATTCGATAGTTACCTTTTTTGCTTCCGTGAATTTGCAAGTAATGTTTGTGTTGTGGTAAAGCTATTGTTTCGTTCAAAAGGATGAATGCTCCCAGACTCACCAGTTTGTTGGAGCAACAATGATCAAGAAAGGAGGGAGTAGGAGGGAACAGAGAGGGAGATTGGATAAGGAAGGTGAAAGGTAAGGGGAAAGCGTACTAGTGGGTAAAAGTACAAATATGTGTGTTTATAACATGGGTTATGAATGGTTCCCTAAGAAATGAGTAGCATCAACAGGTGACACGATCGAAGAATCTAAGGAGCCCCTTGATTGCCTTATCCTTCTAATTGAAATTAATCACCCAAGTACACTATGTTTCTCCACGGCGGACTTGAGGTTTCAGCAGGATCGAACACTTTAATCACACATCCGTGGGGTTGAGATAATTGCATTGCAAATTTTGGTTTCTTCAATGGGCATCACATTCTCTAAAGTGTCGCCTATTGCTAATTTTTCATCTTTTCGTTTGCCTACTTTGTTAAATTTAGAAGCTATTAATTGTTGGCCTCTTCCTACTAATAGAGAACTCGAGCATCTGGCGCAGTTTCCAACTTAAACTGTTCAAGTAGTTTATCTGATGGCATGCCTATTTATAATTAACTAGTGTTCCTTTCATCACCGGTCTGTGTGCTCAATTAACTGACACATTGAGATATCATTTACTTTGCGTTATTGGAGGGGGGGGGGCTTATTTCCAATAACAAACAAAACAATTCCTGAGAAAATTTTGGGATTTAACTCATTTTCCTATTAACTGTACACACTTAGCACTGCTCATTGACTATTGTGTCACCGGTTTAAAGTAAGCATTAGCTTAAAGTGTTGAGAGTTGGGGTATTCCGTTCTCTTAATCCCTAAATTGTGCTCATTACCTTCTACTGTTTCTCGCTGTAGAATCCAGAGGATCCGTTGCAGCCGCGAGAGCAGCAGCAACCGCATCATCAAAGCATGTCAAATATTGCCCTTCATCGAGCAACAACCACAGACTATATCTCATCCAGTGATAGCAGTAGTCAACACGTCAGCCCTACAAGCGTAGACGGTCGGGGTGACACCACACTCCCCTCGCATCGTAGCCAGGCCATACCATCACTTTTGCCTTCGCATTCATATACAACTCAATTCTACACCGATCCGCAGTCTTTTTCGCAAGTCCACGGCAATAGGAGGTCCATAATGTCCTCTGCTGGTGGTGACAGTAATGGTAAGTTCATTTTCCCATCTTAATCTGATTATTGTGAACATCTTTGGAAAGGACATCCCAGGCTTAATAAAAGTGCCTACAACACTTTTTTTGGATTGAGAAATTTATGTTCTATCACCTCTCCTATTGACTAAAATTAGTCACGACGGTTGGCCATCTACATAATACGATTATCATCAATTATATATATAGTCTTTGGCTTGTCAGACGTACAGCTTGCTCACTGGGTGGTACTGTTTTACAGGAGTAAAATTATGACGTTTCTCTAATATCGGGAAGGCCGCTTTATGCCGATTTTATCTTATGTTGTTTCTATGCCGTTCCAATTGTTAGAACCATGGCCTCTAACTTGGCAAGCTGCAATATTAACTGCGTAGGTTAATTTGTATTCAGAAGTGTTGAGTTATCCGTTTTCCCATAATGGAAAAAGGCTCTTTATGCTCAAACTTCAACGTTTGACTTCCAGGTTCGTGGGTTAAATTGTGGTCAGGATACTTATAACTTTCCCACCGATTAATTCTAGTTCGGGGTTGGTCATTTCGGATCGCTTTATCTGCATCGTTTTGCTCTTTTAAATGTCGTAAGTACCTCGAAGATCCTATTTCTCTAGGGGTTATAATCTTGCAAAGTCGTCTCCACTTCGGAGATTCTCTAGTTCAGATTGAAAATGGCACCCATCTGGTTTATTTAGATTGAAATTTCTAACCAACCATGAATTTGGAGAAAACATTATTACGAACACTAATTACGCATGGCACGAAAGAGATTTATTTATTTCAAATGGCAGGCGTTATGATAGGTATCATTAGCCCTTTAGTTGACTTCGGGATTCACAGAAAGGAAGATGAACATCCAAGTGGTAAAAAGTCGAGAGGGAGAGAATAATGATTCACAGACGTAAAAGAGACAGACAGACACAAAGGTAGAAAAAAGGTAAGTACTGTGAAAGTAATCGAATATGACATACAGTGGGGTGATGGTAGTTTGAAGTCCGAAGTCAACTGCCGATTAATAGACTTTTTTGCCGTATGAGTATACGTTGCCCAGGGTGCACCACGTGGAGGTAAGTCTATTGCGCACCCCGGCACGAAAGAGATCTTTTGTGCTATACCATCTTCAAGAGTTCTTTAGTAAATTTGATGATGATGTCAAGTGTTTAGTGCAAAGGTTTTTTTTAAATGTGTAGCCATATCAGGGTGCTATATCTTTAAATTAACTCAACTCCGAATCTGACATTAAGTTTCTCTCTCTCTTTGTGATTGTCAATCAAAGTGAAATGTTTCCTCTTTTTCCTGTCTCTTTCTCTCAAAAGCTCTTTGTCAATTGTGCCTCCACCTCTGTGTTTTCTCACGATTTCTCCCTCTCCCGAATCTAAATTGACAGTCTCTACTTCCATACTTAACTTTGACTCACACAACAAATGACTAAAGTTCGTTTTTTTCTGTGATGTAAAAAAGCGTCGATAAAGTTTGTACTAACAATCGGCAAATAGAGGTTCTTTGTTTAAACATGTTGCACATTGATTAGATCAATTGGTTACTTTGTTGGAAAGTAATGATGATCGAAGTAACGCGTGTCATTAAGATCAAATGATTGGGTTTTCCTTTTGCGATTGGAGTACGATAATAAATATAACTGATAAATGAGATGAACTGCCAAATCAGGGGTCAAGAATTAGATGTTCGCTGGTGTTTATTTATTTATTTATTTAAATCAAATGCCAAGCTTGTGATAGTTATCATTAGCCCTTTAGTTTACTTCGGGCTTCACAGAGGAGAGGGGGGGAGGGAACAGGAGAGTGACTCACAGACACAAAGGTAAGGTGAAGTGAGTACTGTGAAAGTGATCGAGTGCAACATACAGTGGGGTCATGGTAGTTTGAAGTCAACAGCCGTTTTACGGACTTTTTTGCGTATTAGTGTACGTTGCCCAGGGTGTACTATGTGGGGTACGTTTATCGCGCAATCCCCATTAGTGATTATAATGATTCAGAAAAGTGATAGCAATGTACGTTTAGAATGGATAAATGCTGGCGAAAACTACCCTTCTGCAGTGCTAGAAACGGTACTTGTGTTATTCTATTAGCGGGAAATAGTTGCTTCACTCTCAAACCCTGTTGTCACACTATTTAGGTGAATTTTTCACTCGACGTTAGTCTATCATCATGGCAGATGAACTCTAGTATTGACGACATCAAATGAACTAAGCGTCAATATCTTCTAGTGTACTCGTTGGTATTTCATGATTGAATGTGATCATTTGTAAGTCGAGCAGCATCTTAGCATCTCTCATATTGGAAAAAGATCGATCATGTTGCTAACAGGATGCTTACTGATATCTATCCAACCAGTGACCTCTACTTCTGTTGTCCGCCATTGTGACTTGTTTCTAGATCTTGGGGTTTGTTGATTAACTTCAACTTATTAGCATATTTTACAATATACTGTAAACTTATGAGACTTCGAAAATTTGTATCCTAACAAAGTTCCTTTAATGATGATTGTTTATAATTAGTGGGCCTTCATGAGTAATAAACCAATGAACAAATATGTTAGTCTAGTCATATCCTAGACCCCTTCCTCTCATCGATTTTGCAATTTTTCGTTCGTGCACCTAATCGATGATGTATAGAATTCACATCGCACCTTCGTTTCTTTTTGTGCATTGTGTTATGTGTAATGCGGAGGTATGTGCGCAGACGCCAAGGGTAGCAATATATCACCCCCCCTCTCTCTTTAAGGCATTCTCTCCTTAGTCCTGGACGCGTCACATGTTCAGAGCGCGCGCGCGCGCAGCCGCTGTCTGTGCACAACCAGCCATGTTTTCTGACTGTGTGATGTGCGCGCCACCCACGCTATGCGCACATTCGTCAGCTCGTTCACTCAGACGACGAGACTGCTATCTCTCGTCCATCCTAACTATACTTGTCTGGGGGGGCCTAATCTAGACGACTGCTGTTGCTGCTATCCTCTATCTAACTCTTCTCGTTAGCGAGTTTTTCATGTTTCAACGTGTGCTGCGTGTGCAAGATGATCTAAATTCCGGACCATTGGCACGCACAAACAATATGGCTTTGTGTGGTTGGGGGGGGGGGGGGGGGGGGAGTGTGTTCGTGGGAATTGTTGTGTCTGACTATGCACGTCTACTGCTTCTCCCATTCTCGATCGAATTAATGGACGTTCAGCTTGGTGGGTGCGCGCCCCGCGTAAAGGAAAAGTCACTGCGTCAGATATTTGGGAGAGTGAATATAAAAATTGGTGTTAAATTTCACTAGATTGCAAATATGACAAAATATCTGCCTTCTGGTTTAACGTCGCTGAGATAACTGTAAGTCTAGTGATCTAGATTTATATGTAGCCTCTTTTCACTATTCAAGATGGATAATCTGAGGCCTAACGCTACTGTAAGATTACGAGGAATATCGTAAAATAGAATCTCCACTAATGGAATAGTTAAAAGAATATGGTTTTCTTACCTGCGAAAGCATACCACAAGAGCGTTGTTCCTCAGGTGTACTATTTAACAAAAACGTCCAATCCTCATTTTTCTAATGATTTAACCCTTTAACGCCTGACTTATTGTTTTTAAATGTATCCTACTACACTCACGCGTTTCTCACAGCAGATTGTTGCCGCCGACGTGAGGAAGTTTTGGTGGTGTTTCAGGCGAAGGCTACAGACACACGCGTTGAACATGTTTCAAACGGCAATAGCACCACTTCTGTTACGAATCTAATACTAGTGGAGATTATTCTGAAAGAGATCATCGTACGGTCCTAAGGGCGTTAAGGTGTTAAGTTGAAAGGTCCCATCTCACAAGCATACTCTTTAACAATGAAATCAGGTTTTGCTGATCCAGTACTAAGGCTGCAATTTGCTATGTATATGGCACTTACGATCATTTTACTCTCTCAAGATGAGGTGAAATTGTCTACCATCATGATTAGAAAAGTAATTCAAATGCTACTGGACATCAAAGCTATTCTGAAATTCAGCGGACTAATCGTGAAATTTGAATTTCACACCGAATACTACGCGCATTGTACAACCCGAATGTAAAAAACACAATTAGAGCAGGCCTCATCAATTTCTAATTTTCGTCCCATTATGGCTATACTCTCTATTTGTTATCTTCCACAGAAAATACTCGTCGAATTTTTTCCATTACCGGCTGGTATTAATAGGGCTAAAGAGGGGTGTGCATACAGTTGGAACAGTCGTAGCTTCTCTCATTTCCGATCAACTAAAGCCTGCAGATTGTACTCGCAAGTTGCTTTTTCTTAAAAAGGTCCATTTATTGACTCACGACTTCGAGAGTAGATGGCTTTACATTTATACTTGAAGCTAATTGATGTAAGAAACATACTTTTGCAAACTTCTCCAACAGTGTTAGTTTTTCAAGTCAATTCCTTCTGATCACCTGTATTCAATTTCCTATAGCTATCTCAAATATTGTAAAATAATGACTTGGCTCTTTGTTCATTCAGGCCGCTGGAGCCAGATGGAAGGGGAAAGTGATCGGCAGCGGCGTTATGATGACTATCAGACTGCCAACACGGCAACCTCCATACCAGCTACAAACGCCTCCTTAGCTACTTCCCACGGCACCTCCGATAGTGCCAGTAGTAGTGGTGTCCCTGGAGGTAACCAGATGCAGCAGCAGCAGCAGATGTCAATTTCTAATCTCTCCACACCATCATCCCACCCTGCCTACGTTCCCTTGGCTCCCTCTCTCAAGAATTGGTGCTCTGTTTTCTACTATGAGTTGAACAATCGAGTGGGTGACGTCTTTCATGCCTCCAAACCCAAATTCACTGTGGATGGTTTCACTGCTCCCTCGTTAAGTACGGAGCGCTTCTCACTTGGGGGATTGAGCCATGTAAATCGACCTCCACAAGTGGATATGACGAGGCGTCATATTGGTAAGTTTTGCCCCGTTTGACTCTTAATTAGTCATGTTAATATCATGAACATTGCTGCCATTCAAGGTGGTTTCAATGTTTGTTAACTCCCTCGTTTGAAATGAGTCAGGGATTAACAGTTGGGAACTTTCAGTTGACTTCAGTATGCGTGTAAATGAGTAAAAATATTGAAGTAAGAGGGCTATTCCTAGTTTCGGTCAAGAACACAAATTCACAACTTGACTAACTGTTTTTAATATAATCGAATTAGAAGTTGAGTTAGGGGTTAGGGCCTCTACTTCTCACTACTCCCTTCATCTCTATTTTCTTGTTCGAGTTGAACCCCCCCCCCCCCCCCAAATCCTCCAAGAGAAGCGCTGGCATTATTTTATTGGGGTTGGTTGGAGAAGGTATTCTGGAGTAGCTTTGTGGGGTGGGCAGAATTAACTAAAGTGGTTCGCGGCCACCCACATTGATGGATGTTTATGGATAGGTATTGATCTTGTGTCCTCTGGCTTTTCAGACGACTCACTGTCGCTCTCACTCCGATTCGAGCGCTCTCCTCTGTTTGAATAATTGATTTTGAGTCAAGCCGGCCTCCCCACCCCCCCCCCTCTCATGCATGTTTTTCCCTCAAATGGAAATGTTCCAGACTTGGTAATTAGCCTTGTATTATTAATGGCTCTTCTTTCTAACCATTTCATTAATTTTTTTTCTTTAAGTGAAAAGGTAGTATTTTTTTGTAATAAAAAAACATAGGCACTTTGATAACATGGTTAAGGGCAATAGATTTATTATTACTTCATATTGAATCCCGTATTGAATGGCATTGAGTTACAAGTCTTTTTAACTTGACACTTACTTGGTTACTTCACTTTTGGTGAATTGATCTTCACTTCTTTAAGACTTCTCTTGATTAAATTTGATTTGCAGTGAACGATTGAATGAGGTCATTACATGGATAATTGCTAAATCCCACATTTCTAATAAATCGTGCTAGTTTGAACTTATCCGAAACGTGTTTGAGGATGTGAATTTCTAATTACAGACCCCCTTATTCAAAATGACTCCCAGGAATCTCTTAATTCTTTTTACTATCACTCAAGTGAAATTAACATTTACTACTACTTGCAAATGTCTGTTGTTGTTGTTTGTACTGTTAGTATGAAAGCGATGACCCAGTTGTTCACAGGCCTGCTCACGTGGTTTCACACACACGGCTAGTGAGAAATTATTATCTCTAATTGAGGTCAGTAGTCGTCAATGTGCACAAAAACATTGCCTTTTCCTTCTCTTTCCCTCTCAATAGAATGTGGGTCGTCGAAGTTCATGGCCAACTGTTGTCTCTCTTTCTACAACGTGATCAGTGTGTTATGGGTGTGTGTGTGTGTGTGTGTGTGTGCATGCTCTACCTATTTTAAAATCTTCCAACTTCTGGCTAATTAATTTAATGGGGGATGAAACTCAGTAACTGAAGGAGCGGTTCAATGCACTTTGGTTGATCACTACTAGCTTTTATTCACTTAATTGCCCAAAGTTTTACCATTCATCAATGCTCTAATTCTCTTTTTTATAACCTCATTGAATTGTGTAAGTTCTCAATGGCAAGAAATAGGTGAGAAGTGGGAAAGAGATTCGAGGGCGTATAACTTCTCCCAAATCATTCCCACATTTTTTTTTATTTCAACTAGCAAAAAGTTGCATTCTTATTTTGCTGTCTTTTATTCCTAAATCCAGCTGAAGTTTTGTACACCACACCACACGCCGCATTCAGAAATCATTCAAATGCCAGTTAATTGGAGAAAGCTAGCACACAACATATTCAACCGTTCACACCATATAGGTCTTTATACAGTGTTAATTTTTGGTGTATGAGGTCTAAGAATTGCGGCTTTTGTGGTAGCTGTTAACAAATTGACAATGTAACAGCTTGCACTGCTATCTTAACAATTGCTTTCTTTTTTGGCTATTCCCAATATGTGTGCAGGCAACGTAACGTGGAAATTGCAGTATGGCGCTGGTTTTGCTGTAGTGTTTGTATATTGGAAGCTTGGAGGAAAAATTTCTACTCCCTTATACTTGCCTCCTAGATTCGTGCCATGTTTTGCTCTATTTACCCAATGAATATATTTTTCTGCATCATCAGTTCCTGCTCTTTCAGAGCTCAAACTTCCGAGCAGCGTTCCCCTTGGCTTTATGACTTCAAAAGCATCATCAGAGCTTATGGATCGGTCACCTCATCTCACTAGCTCTTCCCTTTGTGTGTGTGTGTGTTCTATAATAAAAAAGCATCGCATCAGTGTAGCGAGCGCGCTTTTATTGTCTCCCCTCCCCTTGTGAATGCCCCCTCTAGCACAATGGTTAACTTCGATTCGCGCAACTCCATATGGGCGTTGATCCATCGACTTCCCTTTTTTGCAGATTAGTTGCTGACAAAATGCTTATTTAGGGCATAGCGTAGTAAAAGTCGAGCTGCTATTCAATGAGAGTACTCCCTACACCCCCCCCCTCCATTCCTCCCTCCCTCCCTCCCTACCATAGTCGTATCACATTGGAATAGGCGAGGCGAAAATAATTGGTTCCTCCACCTCTACAAATTGCTATTTTCATTCATTCATGCGTGCGTGCTTGTGCGCATTAATTCATGAATCATTGCTCACTCGCTCGCTTTCTCTCTCTCCCACTCTCATCTGCTTCCTCTAATATTGACGTGGCGCAAAATGAGTACAATGAGGCCCATAACCAGGAGGACCGTAGTTAGTCATTTAGACCATCTCTCGTACCCACGCTCCCTTAATTCCGTTGCCTATTTTACTACCTGCCTTCCCTTTCTTCACCCATTTAAGAAGGAGGGGGGGGGGGGGGGAAGGACTCTTAGCTCTACTGGGTGTTCACTTGTGCTAACAAAAGGCTCAAAAGTGCTCTCATCCAAGGAGTAAATTTGGTGGCTAATATTCTACTTTATTGCTGATTTCTAATGTCACAAAGTGGTTGAAACACTTCGACTAATATGGATTTAATTCTCTGTGTGCTATCATCGAAGGTTTTAATTGTCGACGCATTGGGCAGAAATGTCAAGATGCTGATATCTGTATATATTCATATATCATTGCCTTTGCTTGGGTACATTCAAAATCTGTTAAGAATTGGTCTGCCGCAAATCTAGAACAAGCATTCTGCAATGAGCTTATCCAATTATTTGAGAAACTGTGAATACTTCATTGTGACACACACACGCACACACTGGTCCAAGCGCACTTCTAAAATAGGTCATGCGATTGCTGCGTGTCGGGGCACACCCAGTGATGTTGGTGGTTAACGGCCCTGGTTATTTCTGATGAGCAGGAGGAGTTGTTGACTGCTAATTACTCTCTCAACACAAGCTATATGTGAGTAATACCTCACCACTGTGTGTAATATTCTTCTTCCAATTAATCTATTTATTGATGAAGGGTCTTTTTAAATAGAACATGAACTTCCTGAATAGGTATTGCAGTTACACCTACTTCCCCCATGAAGAAAGCAGAAGGCTCGCGACCCCCAACTACGCCACATACGCATCTTGGTTTGAATAATAAAGTTATTTAATTTCTCTATCTCTCTCTCAATCAGTCTTCAATATTAGATTTTGAATTAAGGGTTGTTTCATGATTCCACCCTCGGGCCAATAAGTTTGTGAGAAAATATGCATAGCAAGAAATAAATAATGCCTGGTGGAAACTAGGTTGACTTCGCTTCTTGTTATTATTGTTTCTCTGCAGCTTCCCATCATGTTTCCTCTCCTCTCTTCGGAATATCGTGAAATCAGGACCAAAACGTGACCTGACATTTCGAATTTGTGATGTCCCCCTAGTACACGTACGCACTTTTACGCGGACACAAACATGGTTTTCCTAATTTTGTCTCTTAGGCATAAATTTGGCACTGATGGAGTTGTCTTTCTCTCTCTCTCGTTCCATTAGTTTGGGGTGGGGGGGGGGGGGGGGGGGGGGGGGGGAAGATGGGAGAATACTTTCCCACTCCCCCCNCCCCCCCCCCCCCCCACTTGTGCCTATTTTTCTAATCGATTTTCAATGGTACCTCGCACCAATGTGTTTTACAACCTCTCCCCTCCCCTCCCCCCTTTTGTATGCTAAAACAATCGTCTGTGTATCTGTTTTTCTTATGAATGTGTGGTTGTCTAGTAGTGATGATCACACACAGACACACACACATTCCCGTGATATGTCGGTGGTCACAGTTTCGATTGGAAAGGCCAGTTTCACTGGTTAATATTAGTTTTAGAATGCGGATTTCTCATGGAAGAAGTTTTGAGTTGCATTATCTTTGATTTATTAATAATTCTGCTTTGAAATCCAAAGCCAAACTTTGTGTGTGTGTGTGTGTGTGTGCGTGTGTGTGTGTGTGTGTGTGTGTAGCCATTGACATTACTTTTCACTTTTTTTTGAACTGTGTAGGTCGCGGACTCAATCTACTCTACATATCAGGCGAGGTATTTGTCGAGTGTCTCAGCGATGCCGCCATCTTCGTCCAGTCGCCAAGTTGCAATCGCCTCAATAATTGGCATCCTGCCACAGTGGTGAAAGTTCCGCCTCGTAAGTTTTCAACTATAGGAAAAAAAGTTTTTATTTGTGAATAACTTGCAAATGTCTATGGGGGGGGGGGGAATATATATTTCAGTTTTGAAGTGGAAGTAGGAACAACAGCACCAAGAGTCAGAAAACCAGAAGATTTCTGACTCATCTAGGTTCCATAATGTGTGAAGAGCAGGTAGAAAACTCAGTAATAACTGAAAATCGGTTGCAGTAATCACGCCATCATGTCGTTTTGCTTTGTCTTCTCCCGATTATACGATTTCCAGGTAAGTTAGTCACCAAAGTCGATGAAGTGGGGTTAGAAATGTCAATTATCTGTTTTGCTGAACGTCAGAAATTGTTTGGTTCCTTTCTTGTCGTGAGTTCCAAAAGGTTTGCTGTGTCAACTTTCAATTATGTCATTTTTTTCCCTTCATTTTAGGATGCAACCTCCGAGTCTTCGACAATCGGGAATTCGCGGAGTTGTTGTCGCAATCAGTGACGCGAAACTACGAGACAGTCTTTTCCCTCACTCACATGTGTTTCATTCGAATTAGCTTCGTGAAGGGCTGGGGTGCAGACTATCGGTGAGTATTTTCACTTTCATTGTTCAACTCTTGGGCGTGTGCTCAAATTTGTTTCCGATAATCAATGGAGAGTATTTGTGTGATAGAAACTTTCCCCAAGCAAATCTGAGATTATTCGTGTCGTTTTTTTACCTAGTGCCTATTTACGTTTCCGCGCTGTCTCCACGACACTATAAGCTATTACTTGGTAAATGTATCTCAATATCTCTCTGGATTCCTGGTTAATTAGAATGGATTTTTAAGGTACATATTGAGTTAATTGAATGATCATTTGTATTCAACAGAAGATTTGCTAAATTTTGGTGATAGGAGGGGGGAGAGGGGGGGGGTGGAGGTTCAGAAAAATTATTTCGATAATGGAATTAGGAAATGCGTTCTTTTGCGGGGCTTAGCAATTATTCACTTCCGCATGTATACTGATTAATGGCGCTTGGGCCATACATCGAAGACAAGCCAAATGGTTCAAACCAACCATCTTTTATACTTTAGTTTTAATTAAGGGGATACATTTTCTGTCCTCAAATAAGCCCCCCTCCTCTCATTGAAAGCATATGCTTAGTTAGCCTAGCTGTGAATAATCTGACCAACCTAGGGCGTTTCATGTTAGTCCATTAGGTGCCTGTCGGCCTGTTTTGTTTTGTTCACACACCTCTGCGTCCACCACAACAGCATCAACAGCCGCCATCTCCTTACTTTGATGTTTTTGTCTTTGGATTCATTAAATTAGGCTGTGACCTCTTCACTTACATTGAAGGTGTGTGTGTGTGTGTGTGTGTGTGTGTGTGTGTGTGTGTGTGTGTGTGTGTGTGTGTGT